GTGCTTGTCTCTTTCTGTTCTGGAATTCTGATCACCTGTAAGCTGTTACTCTGCATGGTGTCCTGCACAGTTCTTAGGCTTTCTTCAGAGATTTTCATTCTTTTTTTTTTTTTTTTAATTGTTCTTCTAGTATACTAGTATTGAGAGACTTATCTTCAAGTTCACTATTTCAGGCTTCCACTCTTTTGCGTCTACTCCTTTTGCCCTTTCTGAGATCTTAGATTAATTGTCTGGATTTCTAATTGCAGGTTTTGTATGTTTTCAAAATTTACATTTATTTTTTCTGTTTGTTCTTGCAGTGTTTTCCTGAAATTTTCTAAAGTTTTAATTTTGCTCTCCTTACTTTCTTTCATTTTTCTCTCAGTCCTTTGAAGGTACCTAATTATCATTCTTTTAAATTCTATTTCCATTAATTCTACTCCCTTTTCTTCCTCAGAAATGTATTCTGGCTCGGCATCTTGGTCATTTGTTTGAGCCATTCTCTTTTATTTCTTCATGTGAACTGAAATTGTCTGTTGTCTTGGTGGCACTGTGAAGTTGTCCTTTTCTGTGACGGGAGCTAATCTGCTTTGTCAGGCCTCCCTATGCTGCTGAGGATGCTCACAAGAAGGTCGAGATATGTCTGGCCACCATTCACCAGTCTGTCTCCCTCTCTTGCCATCTCTGCTTGGCCTCTCCCAGCAAGTACTCCATCCAGCTCTCTAAACTTTCTTCTGAAGTTCAGGGTGCCAGAATTTTCATCTACATCTGTTTTATTTTGTTTCTTGTATCTTTGTTGTAGAGAGTCCACGTAGTGTGTCTGCCTCATCTGCTATCTTGCCGGAAATCCATGGCTGATTTTTTAAAAACTTGATTGCCATGCCTTTCTTCCGAGGTACAAACCTCTAACCTTTTGCAGCAGACGACAACTTGTAACCATTTGCACCACTCAGCGTCTCCTTCTTACTTCCTTGTATAAACTGCTAAGAACACTTTTGAGCAGAGTCTCTGATGAAAATATTCGTGTGCCAGCAACAGTATCTTTGTGCTACTCTTGTTGTTAAGTGCCATTGAGTCGATTCTGTCTCATAGTGACCCTCTATCAGATTTCCAAGGAGTGGGTGGTTGGTTTGAACTTCAGTCCAGTGCTTACCCTGCAGTACCACAACAAGACTCCACATCTTTATGTGTTGTTGTTGTTAAGTGCCGTCGAGTCGGCGAGTCGGTTCCGACCCATAGCGACCCTGTACAGGGTTTCTGAGGGTGTAAATCCTTACGGGAGTAGAAAGCCTCATCTTTCTCCCGCGGAGCGGCTGGTAGTTTCGAACCACTGACCTTAAGGTTCGCAGCCCGATTCGTAACCACTACGCTACCAGAGCTCCTTATGTAGGAGCACTGAAAACACTTTATTTGGCTTCAGGGACCCCCAGAATTCAATTATAATTTTTTCTGTCCATTTGCTTAAGAAACTTTATTTCATGGACTACATAAAAGCAACTTTAGTATAGCCAATGACAAAACTGACAGAAATCCTAAATTACTAGAATCAGTTAACATGGATTTTATTGTATAAAGAGCTGCAAATTGTAGGTTGGCTCTTGAATGGCCTCAGATGGCCCCAGCACTCTGATCCTTCTCCTTTACCAGAACTTTCCTTTCTGAGAAGCAGACTGTCCAGATATGCATCAGAAGCCTGCACAGTCGGGGAGAGGTGGGAGGCTGGGGACAGGGCTGCTGAAGGGTGAGGACCAGCTGAGGGAGAGGCGGGATGTGCCTTGATCTCCTCACCTCTCCTGAGCATCCTTGAAAGTGCTCTTCATTCCAGCTTTTTATCCATCCCAGTCTTTCCTTTTTCCTTTTCTCCCTCCACTTTGTTCCTTACATCTTGTCTTTTTTTGCCTTTCCTTCCTCCTTTCTGTCCTTGTTCTACTTTGTCTCAATGCTGAGGAAGAATCTCCTTGGGCTGAAAGCTCCTTGGGGTACAAAACGCTCGTTGTGTTTATTTCTGGGTCCCCTCCTGGGGCTCAATTCATTATTATTGAGTGAATAATCAAATAAATGAGAAAAGGAATGAATGGCTGAAAAATTTCCTCCAAATTATCACCTTATATTTTTAACACTGTAACCACCCATTTTGGGAGGACTTTTGCCTGAAACTGTCAGTCTGATCTTTCTGACTAACCCAGCTCCCTCCCACTGGTCTGTGGTATTGAACTAAAACCAGACATGTAGACCGCTCTTTTGAACCATTAACATTTCTTGGTTGGGTGGCAGAGTGTTCTGGGTCTGGATCTCAGTATTTCTAAATCTTTGATGACTGGAAGCGGAGATAAAAGAGAACTTCTCACACTGCGGGGAATAGGGCTGTGGGCCAGCCGTGTCTTGGTTCAGGGAGGGACCCTTGTTTATAGCAGATCGAGGTTATTGTCCTCGGGGGAGCACCAGATATTGGTGAAATAATCCAATAGCAAATTGCTCAGGCAGAGATCTTGAGGATTTTATATATTTAAAAAAATAGAAATATTACAAAAGTCACACAAACAAGTGCCAGTTGTCAGTTGAAGTGAGCAAATATTTTTAATTAGCACTGTATTTCCGCATACCCACCTACATTCATCTTCCCTATCCTGCTGGTGGGACTCTGATTTTTAAGGACATCTGACCATCTCTGTACCCATTCTTGGGGCACATCCCCAACTCTAAAAACCCATCCCTAGATTGTGCTGTGAGGTTTCCAGAGACAAATCCATGTCTCCATTTGAGCCCCAAGCCCGAGTCCACTTCATCCTCAAATTTTACCTGCTTTCTGACTGAAAGTCTCATTGCTTTCCCCTGTATCCTCGCAGGTGGAGAAATCCTGAAAGTCTGTCGGGGTTTCCATTCTACTGGGCTGTCTAACTTTGGGAGGGTAGGTCTGCCTTTCTGTGGCTATTTGGGGGCTGCCCTTTTGAGGAAGGCTGCAATCTGTGGTGGGTTGGGAAGGAAGGGCGTTCTTTCTTTGGGGTATGGATTGAAGTTATAATGAGTGGCTGAGCTTTTCATGACTATTTGTAACCTGTTCTTTCACACTCACTTCTTGAGGAGCTGTTAGGCTAGCTGCTGAGGATTCAGAGACAAATAACATGCAGACTGTATCCTTGGGGAGCTCACAGCTGCGTGACATTGGATAGTAGACATTGCACAGGAAGCTGTGAAGGGAGCCACTAAACAGCCTGAGGGTGGGGGAAGGCTTCAAGGAAGCGAAGTCTTTTGATCCAAACCTTGAAGAAGGCTGACCAAGAAAGAAGATTTACATTAGATGTCAGACTCCATGGCCTCTGGCACCTTGGAAAGCAAGAGATGGGAAACCTGGAGTTTCCCACTTATTTTTTTTACCCTATGATATTTTGGTGCTTAAAGGGGTGATTTTTCAGAAGGGGAGATGGTGGGTAGGCATAAAGCTGTGGGAGGCTGCCTGAAACTTCTCCATCCCCCACCTAGGCTTCCCATAGATGTCCAGCTCTCTCAAGGCCCATGCCACCTTGGTGTCACATAAGGAGGGCTCTGGCAGCACATATGGCTCTTTGTGCAAATTAAAAATTCGTTCCCTTGCTGGGCGGATAAGTAATTAAATGGTGCTCTGACCACAGTGTATTTCAGACCCCACTCCATCCTGTCGAGGGGTTTCTTTTGTATCAGAGCTCTCTGTGTTTCTGTGTGTGGGGAGGGGGAGGGGGAGACTCTGCGTGGCTCAAACCTTGACCTTTGATGGAGAATTTGCTCTTCCCTAAGACCAAGTCCTGGTGTGGCACTGTGGGTTAATATACCAGACTGCAAAGCCATTTGAACTGCAAGGTTGGTGGTTCAAGCACACCAGCTGCTCCTCAGAAACCCTATCCAGGGTCACTATTGGTCAGAACCGACTTGATGGCACTTAACAACAAGACCAAGTTGGAGTCCTGGTGTGGTGCTGTAGGATAAGCACTGGACTGTAAGGTCGGTTAAAACTCACCAGCCACTCCTTGAAAATCCTATACAGGGTCACTGTGAGTTGGAAACAACTCAATTGCACTTAACAACAACAAGACCAAGGTAACCCCATAGACATTTAACAATGACTGATATTTATGAATTGTCTTTCTGAGATTTAGGGTTGTTTCAAGAAAAAGAAACACAATCATTCAATTGTTGGGCTGTTGGTGTAATTATTTATTTTTAAAGTGAAAGGATGTAAATGTTTACTTTGGAGACTTGTCGGAAACACAAATAAAAGAAACTGCAAGCAGTGGTGTGTTTGTACAGATTCAAGAGAGCAGACTGAGCATGTCTCTTCCCAACTTTGTATGCTGTGACTCCCAGCTGATAGGTTAGCATCAGGCATGGTGGGAATATTGACACCACAGAAATGGGCAACTGCTAGAGACCAGGCCTCTTCCACCCTCTGCCCTGAGCCTGTTGTTAAACATTTACTACAGTCCTCTGATCATGGTCTTCTGAGCCTCTAACCAGGAAGGTAGAGGTGCTCCAAGTCAGCTTGTCCATGTGCAGACATTTGAAGAGTGCTTACTGTGAGCCAGGTTCAGAACTAGATGCTCACAGTCTAGTGTCCTCCACCCTCCAGACAGAGCCTTGTGTCCACACTGCGGGAGGAGGACCTGTAGTCTAAGAAGGGAGAAGGAGCAAGCTTGGTCAACAAGGGCTACTCAAAGGAAGCCGACTTGGAGCTGACCAGGAGAGAAGGGTAGAAGAACTTTATGGGCCAAGGGGATGGCAGTGTAAAGGCACAGAGGCACGTGGAAGCATGTGGTCTCCTATGTCCTGACCCAGGAGCAACCAAGTCTCTGTGTTAAATAGCTTAACCTGCTTAGAGCGATGTTCTCCTCTCAAAGTCAGCTAGTCTGTCCTTCTGTCTCTGCGCACCTTCAACATCATTATCCCAAGTTGATGGGTTGACATCCTGCCTCACCTGTCAGGCTCCAGGTACAGGCCTGGAAGCCCATGGCTGTGAGATGCCCTGATGACAGGCTGTGCCTCTGTTTCAGAATTTCGGCGAAGGACCATCTTTGAATACCATCGCGTGGAACTGGATCCCAGCAAAGTCAGCAGTACATCGGCCGTGGAGTTTACCCCGCTGCCAAGTGAGTAGGAGTCATTCCACTAACGGTCCTGGAAAGAGGACTTCAGAGTTCAGCAGACTAGGAGCAGTTTCCAGACCTGCCACTGAATCTTTTCTGGGCCTCCATTGCTCATCTGTAAAATGGGTCAATCAATAGAACCCCAGGAGGTAGCGTTGTGAATGTAAACAACAGCTCTGACACCGACACAAATCCAGAGTTGTGATTTGTTTGATATGTGGCAGGTATTGTGGCGCTGCAGGATAAGCACTGGATTGCAGTGTTGGTTTGAACCACAAGGCTGTCAGTTCAAATCCACCAGCCACTCCTCAAAGACCTTATACAGGGTGGCTATGAGTCAGAACCAACTTGATGGCACTTAACAATAACAACAACTATTTTATTATTATTGACACATAATGGAAACCCAGGAAAGGTATACCTCTGGAAAACTAGTACAGGATCTAAATTAACCCATCAGTTTGTCATTGTATTTTCCTAAGACAGTAAGAGTGTAAGGGAGCCCTGGTAGTATAGTGGGTTAAGCATTAGCCACAAAGTGGGCAGTTCAAATCCACCAGCCACTGGGAGGGAGAAAAATGAGGCTTTCTGCTTCTGTAAAAATTTGCAGCCTTGGAAACCCTGTGGAGTCTCTCGGAGTCGGAAACAACTCAGAGGCAGTTGGTTTTGTTTTGTTTTTTGTTTTTAGGGCAGGACTGAAGATAGGGACATTGGAGTCCACGGGCAGGAGGCAATGAAATGATTTAGCCAGCAGCCCTGTGAGACCCGTGGTGCCCTGACCCTCTCCTCCCTCTGCACCCTCTCACCTACAGTTGAAGGCACCTGCGTACCCTCTTGGCAGAGGTCCCACACTCTGGAATTGGGTGGGTGCTCTTTGGAATATGTTCAGAGCAGCTGGAGGGGGGGGGGGAAGGGAGACGTACTTTCATTCTTGTCTTTTCTCAAAAAGGGTTTTAATTTCTTCCCTGTCTCATGGAACCACCTGGCTCCCTCTGAAGCTGTGGCCTTCTCCCTGCCTTCTGTGGTGTTCTCACTTCTTTCCCTCTTCCTCTTCTCTAGAAGTTCTAAGAGAAGGTGGGTGGAGAGAGAGGAAGAAGTTCTAGAACTATATCTCAGCCATGGCTCAGCAGGCCTGTGGCCCTTCCTAGCTTTCTTCCCTGGAAAAGAGAATGGATCCAGACATTATGGGGTCACAGGACTAGGATACCTGTGCAGCATGCAGCTTCCTCCCAGACCAGTCACCCTCCATCGAGGCAGAAGGCCTGAGAACAGGAATTCCTCAAAGACAAATGAGAGCAAACCTCAAGTCCTAGGACTTGAATAAGGCTGCACTTTCTGGAGCAAGGACATCCAAGGGCAGGGCTAACTGTTGGGCAGAAATAGCAAGAAAGAATGAAGCATCCTGGGACTGCATTTCTGGGACGCTCTGTCTGTACATCTTAAAGGCATTTGCTACCCCTCCAGTGAATTTGGAGAGCGTTTAAGAGCTTACAGGACATCTGAAATGCAGATGAGAAAGAAAGGTCAGTGGGATTTATGATACCCCATGAGGCTTCCGGTGCTTTCCTCATGGCCAGTTTGAGTGGAGCCTTTTCGGGTCACCAGGAAGAACTGGTTGCAGATGGTTGCAGAGGGGAGGTCAGTACTGTTAGGGTGGTGACTTGAGCCTCTGGACACCATTTAGCTTTGTCCTAAGAAAACGCTCTGTGTCTCTGCTAGGCTTTCCCCCGAAGGAGCTCTGGTAGCGTAGTGGTTATGAATTGGGCTTCGAACCTCAAGGTCAGCAGTTCGAAACTACCAGCTGTTCCATGGGAGAAAGATGAGGCTCTCTGCTCCCATAAAGATTTACAGCCTTGGAAACCCTATACAGGGTCGCTATGAGTTAGAACCGACTCCACAGTACATAACAACAACAACAACATTGGGGGCTGGCGGTCGGCATAGAGATTGTTGTTGTTAAGTGGTTCGACTCATGGTGAGTCCTTTATGAAGCTTCCAGGGAGCAGCTGGTGAGTTTGAACCATTGACCTTGCGGTTAGCAATACAGTGCTCATTCTACAGTACCACATCAGGACTCTGGGGGTGGGGCTGGAAGGGAGGACTTCACCACGATACTTGAAATTTTTTCCACCAATGTGGATGCATTGTCTCCAAGCTATCACACTCCTTGACCCTCCTGGTCCCTCCTCTAAGTAAGAGACCTGTGAGAAGGTGACCTGGGGTGAGTGTGGGACTTGGGATCAGGGGGGTCCTCAGCCTTAAGTCTAAATGCTCACATTCAGACAGACTTAGATTCACACTCAGATCCACCACTCTTCGCTCCATGACCTTTCCTCCTCTGTAAAATGGGGAGAACAGGAATATTTATATATCATTTCAGTAAGCATCTGTTAACTCTCTACCATGTATTGAGTACTACTCTAGACTACATCAGAGAACAAAACAGCCAGAGCGCTCTTGTTCTTGTCAGTCCCCGTTTATTTCCTGCCAATGGCTTTTCATCAACTCTTCCAGGGTCTCAAAACCCTAATAAGCAAAAGGACACATTGTCACCAACAGGCAGAGCCTCCCACAAAGCTACAGAAGGTGATCACATAGCTTCCCTCTTACTAAGTTCCCAGAAACCATCTTGTTGGGAGCCCATGGCATGCAGGTTAGGCTCCCCAGTTGAGGGATGTGGCATAGATGTGTGTCAGGCACACTTATTGATGGGTGGTGGTTTTTCTGTAGTTAGTCATTTCTTCTTGCTGTTATCAGCATGCTTTGTTCTGCTGCATGTAAGATGAGCCCTTGGATCACACACAGTTATTCTGCATGAGTGCCTGTCTCTTCTTGCAACAAACTGCATGGGTTTTGTGACAGCTCTCACTGCCACTCACAAGTCATTCTGGTTCACCTATGTGGATAGCATTTGATTACAAGTGAACAACTCTTAAAACTCCAACCCCTCATACTTCCTACTCCCCAGGGCCTCTCTGCTCCTTCTTTGTTAGGCTGCTGACAGAAGGGGTCCATGTTCCCTCCAGCAACCTGCCTTGATGCCGCCCCCCTCTCCTCCCACTCAGTCCTGCCCAGGCTGGGCTCCAGCTGTGATCCTTCATTCCTACAACTTCCCCGTTTTCCATTTTCAGGAACACGCCTGGGACATGCTCTTCCCCCGACCTCTGCACCCTCGCACCTTCTGTTGGGGCTTCTTGTCCCCCAGGAGACCGTCAGGGCTCACTTTCTCCCCTGTCTGTGGCCTCTGCCCCAATGTCACCTCCTCCAAGAGGCAAGTGGTCATCCCCAGTCTGCACACCTGCATCCTTCACTGTCATTGTGCCTTCCTGTTCTGTTCTGCTGTTTTGTCATTTGTCCCACTGGACACCCGCATGTAGATGTCTCTGTATATGCTGTGACTGTCTCCTCCATGAGACTGCAGTTCAGTGTGGACAGTGCACTGACGTTTCTGTGCACCACCCAGTGACGTTTATAGCCCATAGTAGTTGCTCAGTAAAAATTTTTGTGTGAATGAAAACCTTTTAGGTTGATTGAGAAGACTGAATAAGGCAATTTGTTATTGTTGTTGTTAGGTGCCATCGAGTTGGTATTGATTCACAGTGACCCTATGTACAACAAAATGAAATACTGCCTGGTCCTGCGTCAACCTCATGATTGTTGCTACGTTTGAGCCCATTGCTGCTGCTAATGTGCCAGTCTATGTTGTTGGGGGTCTTCCTCTATTTCTATGACCCTCCACTTTATCAAACATGATATCCTTCTCCCAGGACTGGTCCCTCCTGATAATGTGTCCGAAGTATGAGAGATAAAATCTGGCCATCCTGGCTTCTAAGGAGCATTCTGGTGGTACTTCTTCCAACACAAATTTGTTTGTTCTTTTGGCAGTCCATGGTACTTTTAATATTCTCCTCCAACACCATAATTCAAATGCATCAATTCCTCTAAGGTCTTCCTTAGTCACTGTCCAACTCTCACCGGCATATGAGGTTATTGAAAATACCATGTCTTGGGTCAAGTGCACCTTAGTCCTCAAAGTTATGTCTTTGCTCTTCAACACTTTAAAACAGTCTTGGGCAGCAGCTTTGCCTAATTGCAATACGTCGTTTGATTTCTTGACTGCTGCTTCCATGAGTGTTGATGGTTGGTCCAAGCAAAATGAAGTCTGACAACTTTAATCTTTTCTTCATTTATATGAATGTTGTTTATTGTTCCAGTGGTGAGGAGTTTTGCTTTCTTTACATTAAGATGCAACCCATAACGAAGACTGTGGTCTTTGATCTTCATCAGTAAATATTTTAAGTCCTCTTCACTTTCAGCAAGCATATCGCAGGTTGTTAATGAGTCTTCCTCCAATCCTAATGCCACATTTTTCTTCATATAACCGAGCTTCTCAGATTATTTGCTCAGCATACAGGTTAAATAAGTATGGTGAAAAAATATAACCCTGGCACACACCTTTCCTAATTTTAAACCATATGGTGCTCCCTTGTTCTGTTCGAACAACTGCCTCTTGGTCCATGTACAGATTCCTCTCATGAGCACAATTAAGTGTTCCGGAAGAGTCATTCTCTGCAATGTTGTCCATAGCTTGTCATGATCCACACAATCAAAAGCCTTTGTGTAGTCAGTAAAGCATAGGTAAACATCTTTCTCTGCTTTCAGCTAAAATCCTTTTGATGTCAGCAATGATATCCCTCACTCTATGTCCTCTTCTAAATCTGGCTGGAGCCTCTGAAAGTTCTCTGTTAATGTATGGTTGCAGCCATTTCTATATTACCTTTAATAAATAAAACTTTACTCGCATGGGATATCAATGATATTGTCCAATGATTTCTGCATTCCATTGGGTCATCTCTCTTTGGAATGGGCATAAATACGGATCTCTGCCAATCAGTTGGCCAGACAGTGGTCTTCCAAATTTCTTGGCAAAGATGAGTGTCTCCAGTGCCATATCAGTTTGTTGAAAGATTTCAGTTTGCGTCCCATCAATTTCTGGTGCCTTGTTTTTGCCAGTGCCTTCAATACACCGTGGACTAAGTCTGTCAGTATCACCGGCTCTTGATCATATGCTACCTCGTGAAATGGTTGAACATCGACCATTTCTTTTTGGTACAATGACTCTGTGTATTTCTTCTATCGTGTTTTTAAAGTTTTTATTGTGAATTGAGTCAAAGTTTATGGGGCAGAATTTCAGTTTTACATTCAACAGATCATATACTTTGTTTTATTACAATGATTATAATCCCCACCATGTACCATCAGTTAACAGTATTTCTCTTTATTCATTTTAGCTTTTTTTTTTTAAAAAAACACTCAGGCATATATAGTAATTTACACCATCAAAGGGCACATTCTGCAAGTCTGCTTCCTGGCCGCCATCGCTCAGTCCCTTTCTTTCCATGAATCTAGCTGCTCCCTCCCTCCATGTCCCCATCTCTGACTCCATCTCTGGCATCGCTGCTTCTCTGGATAGGGTCCTGCATTCCGTTTGTGGTCTTCTTTGATGGTCCCAGGGTCTTCTGTTTCTGGACTGTAAGATTAACTACGCCTCCATTTTTGTTACAAAAACTTCTACCTTTTTACAATTGTGACAGTCACAATTTGTCATGATAACAATTACTCACTATTGAATCATAAGAATCTTATCCCCATCTCTTTTCACCAGACCCATCTAGACAAGATGAAAACTATTCTGTGGGGACTCTATCTTCCCACACACACTATTAAACTAAACTCCCTCTTGAAACCTTGTGAGCCAGTCATTTTGTGCCTTTATCGCCCCCTCATTTTAGGTAGCCAATGTCTAAGTTGCCTGTCCTTATATACGTTGTGTACAGAGGGGATAGCATTGATATTTGATGTGAAGACTCCTTCCCTCTCTGTTGGTGTTTTGAGCTAGTACCCCCATAAGTATAGGTCGAGTTCTTCAAATTGTAGCAATTTACACTAATTTCCTTTATTAAAAATTGTTTTCTGTTTTATCTTCCCCTATTCAAGTTCTGATTATCAAGCCTTCAAGGCTAGGTCAGATGGTACAATCTGTAAGTTTGGGTGTTCTTGTGCATATCCCCTGTCTTCATATCAGCTGGTCGCTTCACTCTCAACTGTAGCCCCCTGTGGCTTTGCCCTTCCTTGTACATGGGCTCAGGTGTCCCCAGGTCTCAACACACCAGGGACCAACCAGCCCTTCGTCTTCTCTCTCTAATCTGCAGGTCAACGGGAGTCTATGGAACATGGTTGAACTCAGCCCATTTCTGCATTGCTGCCATTCCCCCTCTTCCACTCACCAGTTGACCAAGCTTACATGCCTGCTCCTGTGTTCCCTTTGAATTTCAGTCTTAGAGGGGTCTTCTATCTTGTTTTGATGCTTTCTGCATCATTCAGTAGTTTGCTTATTTGTTGTTGCTGTGTGCCATCAAGTCAGTTCTGAAACATAGGGACCCTGTATAGGGTGTCCAAGGAGCAGCTGGTGAGTTTGAACCGCCGATTTTGTAGTTCAAATTGACTTTGCAGTCCATTGCATTATCCCACAGTGCCAAATCCTTCATAATTGGAAGTCGAGGCTTGAATTTTTATTTCTTCAGTACCCTCAGCTTGAGAAATGTTCTTCCCTTTTGGTTTTTTGCACATTTAATTATAATCTTTGACTTTGTCTTCTTGAGCTGCCCTCTGAAAATTTCTGTTCAGTTCTTTTACCTCCTTGTTTTGTTCCATTTGCTTTAGCATCTCTGTGCTGGAGAGCAAGTTTCAGAGTCTCTTCTGATAATCCATTTTGGTCTTTTCCTTCTTTCTTGTCCTCTTAATGACCTTTTGCTTTCTTCCTGCAGATGTTCTTGATGTCATCCCACAACTCTTCTGGTCTACGGTCTTTAGTGTCTAATGCATGAAATCTGTTCTTCAGATGATCTCTAAATTTAGGTGGGATATGTTCAAAATCATATTTGACTCTTGTGGAATTGTTTTAATTTTTTTCAGCTTCAGCCTGATTTATTGTTGCTGTTACGTGCTGTCCAGTTAGTTCCAACCCATAGCGATCCTGTGTAGACTTTCTGAGGAGCGGCTGGTAAGCTTGAACCACCAGCCTTGCAGATAAAACTGACTTTGCAGTACAGAGTGCATTAACCCACAGCATCACACCAGGACTCCCGAACTTTCATATGAGCAATTGATAGTCTGTTCCACAGTCTGCCTCTGGCCTTATTTTGGCTGATTGTTGCTGTTGTGTGCCAATGTTGTGTGCTTTTCCATTGTCTCTTTCCACAGATATAGTCAATTTGATTTCTGTGTATTCTATCTGGTGATGTCCATGTACACAGTCGTCTTTAATGCTGTTTAAAAAAGGTATTTTCAACGAACAAGTCATTGGTCTTTCAAGATTCTATCGTGCGATCTCCAGCATAATTTCTATTACCAAGGCCATATTTTCCAACTACTAATCCTTCTTCTTTGTTTCCAACCTTTGCATTCTAATCACCAATAATTATCAATACATCTTGATCACATATTTGATCAATTTCAGACTGAAGAAGTAGGTAGAATTCTTCAATTTCATCATCACTGGCTTTAGTGGTTGGATATTATCCTATCACAGACAGCATTCTATTTAAGACAGATCTTGATATGTTCTTTTGATGATGAATGAGATGTCATTCCTCTTCAATTTGTCATTCCCAACATAGTAAACCATGTGACTGTCAGATTCAAAATGGACATTATCAGTCCATGCCTAGGTTATCAGTGTCTATGGAAGCAGTGGTCAAGAGATCAGACGACGTATTGCATTGGGCAAATCTGCTGCACAGGAACTTTTTAAAGTACTGAAGAGCAGAGATGTCAGCTTGAGGACTAAGGTGAGCCTGATCCAAGCCATGGTATTTTCAATAACCTCATATGGATGCGAAAGCTGGACA